AATTCTATGCATGTTTAATTTGAATCTTACTGCTATGGTCTGAAAACTTGTTGTTCTCTGTACCCCAAATTCATATGTTGAAAACCTAATGATTAATGGGATGTTAATAAAAGATGGTGCTTTGATTGGTGCTTAGGTCATGAGGGTGGACTCTCATAAATGGGATTACTGCTTTTATAATAGAGCTTCCACAGAGATGCCTAGTTCTGTCAACCATGTTAGGACACAAGACAGTATTGCTCCTGAACCAGGAAGAGGGCTATCACCAGAATGAGACACTAGGGCCTTATTCTTGGACTTTCTAGCCTCAAGAACTGTGAGAAACAGATTTCTGTAGTTTATCGGTTGCCTGGTGTGCAGTGCTGTGGTATAGCAATTCAAATGAAGTAAAGGTACGTACCAGCTGGTAAAGGTTTTCCCAGTAGTCTTGAGTCATGAGTCGAAAAAGAGACAAGAAAGCCCAGCTAAAGGTGTCAAAGCTTGTGTAGCCATAGTTGGGGTTTCGGCCAGCCTTTACACAGACGTACCCTTCTGGACACTGGCTGTAAGGGAGAGAAATGGAGGTAGGGTCAGCATAGCAACTGTAGTTCTGTCAGTCAGTGGTGATTTATAGGAATTGTCAAAACTCAGAGTTACTGTCTGTAAAAAATTTTCTTGTCTTCTTTTCCAGAACATTTTAGGTAACTGCTCAAAGTGACACTGGTATCACGTGAAACTTACTGGACAAACTTCAGCGCAATGGTACCAGGCTTATAAGCATCTGGAATGGCAGAATGGCAACCTTACACTTTTGTCTCTGACACCAATAGCCATTCTAAAATCAATGATTAAAAATTTAAAGGTAGAAAACAGCTAACAGGTAATTTATCACTTAATAAACTACTCCATTAGCCATTTCTATAGAGTTTCCTAGGTTAAATTTACAGAAATTTGTCAAGATAACAGAGACTTTTCATAAAATTCGTGTCCCATTACCCCTAGAATTATCTTCTTAGTTTGATATGAATACTTTTGAATTATAGTGATCCATTATTATTAACCAAAGTCTATAACTGACCCAGATATTTTGTTTTTCCCTAACATCCTTTTTATGTACAAGATGCCTTGTGTTACATTTAGTCATTATGTCTCCTTACACTCCTTGTGCTTGTAACATTTTCTCTGACTTTCCTTGAGTTTGATGATCTTGACAGTTTTGAGGCATACTAATCAGGTATTTTGAAGAATGCCCTTCAATGAGAATTTGTCTGATGCTTGTCTCATGATTAGGATTATGGATTTGGGGGAGGAAAACTGTAGCAGTAAAGTATCATTTAATCATATCAAGGGTATATACTTCAGCATGCCCATTATTTGATGTTACCTTTCATCACCTGACACAGAATAGTGTTTCTCCTCTGTAAATTTTCTCTTTCTTTGTTCCTTTTCTATACGGTACTCCTCGGAATCAAGTCACTATGTGCAGCCCATTTTTAAGAAAAGAGGAATTATAATCTACCTTCTTAAGAGCAAAGTTGTATCTAAGATACTTGGAATTCTTCTACCAAAAGATTTATGTGTTCTCTCTTACCTATTGCTCTTTTCAACTCAGTCTGTATATGTGGATATGTATTTTCTATTTTGAATTATAATGCAATGATGTTTCACTTATTTTTGTGGCTCATATTGTTCCAGCTTGGGCCACTGTGAGTTTTTTTCAGTTGATTCCTGCATCCCTTTCTTATAACACACATATCTTGGCTGTGTATTTTTTTTTTTTAAAGATTTATTTATTTATTTGTACAGAACTGGGGTACAGGCCAGAGATGCGGAGGGTGAGAGAATTCACCAGAGACAGAGCGGGGAGCAGAACAGGCAGATCGACAAAGTACACTGCTGAGGGGAGCAGCGGGCGGGTCAGGAGAGGTCTGCCACGCCATGTGGTCGCCTCCGGGGCAGGCGGGAATCGAACTCATGAGGAAGTGGCTTTAGACTCTCAGTGCTGTGCTTTAACCCGCTGCGCCACCAGGGAGGGCCGGCTGTGTATTTTTTTTAGTATTTTCTTACTTCCAGGCACAACAAGATACTTTAGGCTTATCTACCTTAATCCTAAAATCAGTAATTTTGTCAAGATTTCCTGATTCATTTATTGAAGAATGATACTAAAATTGAAGATCTGGATGCTAATTGTATTTAGTATTACTTTGGTATCATTGTTTCTGGTTTCACAGTGACAGTGCAAGAAGATATGTGTGTGTTAACTTTTATTATACACCCACATGTACAGATATTTTTGTATATAAATACTTCTGTGGGTACCATCTGTGTCAGAATTAAGCTGAACATGAGGTCATACTCATATATACAACTGCATTTTATTACCACAGGATCATTTCCAAAATTGCTAAGATTAGTATCTACTCCCCATACCCTTTAATGAGATTATTTCATACAGTTAAAATATTATTTCTACACCTTTGGCATGGTCTACATTTTGACCTGGGATTCTCTAACCTCTCACAAGTGATTTTCAAAAATTTGCTTGTATTCTTCACTGTTTGTTCTGTAAAGGTCCATGCATTTTGACAGTTGCTTAATATTCACCATTATAGAGTCAAACAAAACAGTTTCTTCTCCCTAATAAATCTCCTACTTTACCCAGTTAACCCTGCACCCTTGGAAAACACTGATATTTTTATTGTCTCTATTTTCTCTATTATGTTGTAGAATTAGAATCAGAGTTTGTAGCTTTTACAGAAAAAAAATTTTAATGTAGAAATATGCATTTAAGTTTCATCACTGCCTTTTCTTGTGGCTTGATAGTTCATTTCTTTTTATCACTGAATAATAGTTCATTACATGAGTATATTGTCAGTTGTTTATCCATTTACCTATTAAAGACATCTTGATTGCTTCCAGTATTCCATTTTCTGGCATGACTCAAAGTAGTTATTATGTAAGTTTTGTGGTCTAAAAGTCATTGCTACTTCTATTGCTTGCCTTAAAAAAGAAAACGACAACAATCTTCTCTGCACTGAATTAAAATTAATTTTCAATGCTTTTGGGAAAATATGTTGAGTATGAGAGAGTAGCAGGATGAGTAAGATATCATAGCATCCTTTATTGTAGAATGAAATATAAAAGAAGCACTGTTAATTGATTCATTGTTAGCCATACCTCAGGTCATCTCTGCCCCTTGACATCTTTGCATTCAGGGTTTCATGCTATTTCAACAACTAAGTCACTCAGAATGGTTTCTCCAAAAGCCTTGCTGCCGTAGGACTGTTATATTCTGGGATTTTTCTAGCCACAGCAATACCCTAGCCATCAACATGTGCCTATACTGATCAAAATGTGCCCATCTTGTGCTTCCTTGCCTGCGTTTCTTAAAAGACCCTTGGTGAGTTTATGGACAAGACAGGCTATAAATTGCCTTCACATTGTGTGGCAATAATTCAGGTACCTCTTCACTGTGAAGTTCAGACAAAAGGGCTTCACCCAAAGGGATGATTATAATAGTTGTGAATTTAGAACAAACAGCAAATCATTAAGACATGGAAAGTATATTCTGGTTAAGCAGAACCAGCTTTTTCTATATACAGGTAACACCAGCTCTGTATATTTTTTCCTATTTTTTTCTTATAAAGTTCTCTACATTTTTCTTAAAATTATGTTTCTTACCCTGCATCTGAGCCATTTCCACAGAGTAAAGGGTCTTTTTGTCCATCCAAAACATAAAAATGACCTGTTAATATAGAGAGTAAATGTAATATAGAGAGTAAATTTCTTAACAATCCTGTTGACCTTAGGAATAAATGAAAGCATGAATATCTCAGTTATTTCCAAAGCAGATACCAAAGTATATTTACAATGATGGCTCATCCCCACAGGCTCCACTCTTTTTAGTTGTAAACTTAGCAATACTAAGGTTAACAATGTAGCAATATTTCTTACTGTCATCTTCAATGTAATCCTTCCAGTTAAATGTGCTCATTGTTACATTGACAAATGTCCCATTTGAATCCATTGTGCCATTAAAGTAGGAAGTGGTGTTGGTTTCAAAAGCAGATTCGCTTGGGGGCCATTGCAAACATTTATTCCGCAGGTTGCCCATGAACAGCTGCAGCCCAATGAGCGCAAACACACTCAGGCAGAACACGGTCAGGATCATGACGTCTGAGAGCTTCTTCACAGACTGGATCAGGGCGCCCACGATGGTCTTTAATCCTAAGGAGAGAGAATGAGCGGTCAGCTAGGAAAGACCATACACATTCCTAGTAGCCATACACATTTTTTCTCTGCACAAACAGTTGCTTGGCTGTAGGGCACCAAAGCTTAACAGAAGCCAGAAATGGATGAAGAGCAGATTTTGTTTCTGAACAGTGTGCTTTCTGCAAGTTCAAAATGGAAGATGAAAGTTTAAATATCTAAGCAGAAAGTTTTATATTTGTGAATTTCCATGCTGCACAAAGACAAACTTGCAGTTATTTTTCATTTCAGATTTGTGTTTCATAAGGCTGTTACCCTCCAATCTATTTTTTTATAGTGGCTTCCAAGTAGCAATGATTTTAAAGGAGAAAAGAATTTTACAATAATAAAAATCTCATGCTCTGTACATGCTGTTCCATGATAATCTTTTCTCCTTCAAAAGGAGATCCACTTTCAAAATAGATCTGCAGTAAATGGTTAAAATCCAAACTAGTTAGTAAAGCCATGAGAGCAAAGCTTTTTCAAAATGTCAGAGAAGAAACTTTACATCATAAACGTAAGAAAAAAATAGAGAGAACAAAACTAGTATTTTTTAGACATCTCATGCAGTTCTCTGTTAAACTCAAAGGCTGACTTTATAAATAAACATTTAATTTCTAAAATTTTAGGGGCTGAACTGCATTGTGATCAACAAGAAAAGTAAGCATCAACAATCATTATTATTGCACTAACTTTAAAGTCAGCCTCGGTGTTTAACCTAGCTCTCACCTGGAATGACTGAAATTGTTTTCAATGCTCGGAGAACTCTGAATGTTCTCAACGCTGAGACATTGCCCAGGTCCACAAACTCTGTCACATATCTGTAATAGGGAGTTCACACACAAACACAATAACAGAACACAAGAAACAGTTGGAGATATAAGGAGCCTACCACCTTATACCAGTTTCTTCTTACCTGGAATTACAGAAATAGTTTTCAAAGCTCTCAAGACTCTGAAAGTTCGAAGAGCTGAAACATTGCCTAGGCTTACAAACTCTGTTACATACCTGTAGGATTAAATCAGAGTTACTGATGGCTTTGGCAAAGTTTTTACTAAATAAAGGAATTAATGCTGGGTTTGGCACATAGAGCCTCTTGAGTAAAACAAATAGAATTGCTAATAGACATAACAGTGCCGTATGCTGAAAACGTTCAAGGAATAAAATTTTGCTGCTTTATTTCAATGTAATTTTTATTATGAACAGTTGTAATTTTATTATGAACAGTTGTTTGCAAAACTAATCAAAGTATAGTTGGTGGCATTAAATTGTAGTCAATGAATAACTTTATTTTGATGAAGTAAAGACTGTATGGCATGAAAGCAATTTCACTTATTGCTCATCTATCAGCTATATTTACCTTGATATGTATTGTAATATGTATTCTGAAAATATATGAGGCATATAATTAATTTGACTAATTATCATTCTACATTTAAAATAGGTCACAATGGCCTCACTTATGGTACAACTAGTTTCATTCTTTTATACTTAACAAGTTGTATAAAATACTCACGCCATCACAATGACACTGAAATCCAACCAATTCCATGGATCACGAAGGAATGTAAAATCTTCTAAGCAAAATCCTCTTGCCAAGATTTTTATAAGTGACTCAAAGGTATAGATTCCAGTGAATGTATACCTAGGAAAAGCATAAAAATAATTAATCCTGTTCACCATCGAAATCATTAAGTAGATATTATCAAAAGTAGCAAAGCCTATAATTTTTTAATGTTTCAACAAAATCATGTTCTTTATTTCCACTTATGAAAGAATCTATGCATTTATTTAATCTTATAAGTATGAATACAAGGTTAACACAATAACATCTTCATCAAAGAAACTGATCTTGTTTAACTATTTAAAATTTTGGAATAATAACTTCTTTTGCTTTATGGGTATTCATCAAACTTGACCTTCTAAAGCAACACTGTCCAATCAGACACAAAGTGCAGATGTAGTTTTCAAATTTCTAGTATCCTGAAAATAAGAATCAACAATAAACTTAGTGGCCAATCTACATTCTATTTATGTCAGTAATATCTAATATACTATATTGTCTTTTCAGTGATTAAGACTAGCCAAATTCAAGTTTCAGTTAACACATATGATAAGTTTCTCCTTTACTGGACAGTATTTCTCAGAGGCAACATTTTCTGGATTCATTGATAGCAAAAAATTTCATTCATCACAAGAAACTTTGCAGTTCACTAGTGTTTTAAGAATGTTTATTTGCAGAATTATCAAAATTCAGGAATAAACACAAATTTCTGGATCTAACCTTATATTACCTACAAGCACTCTGCATTTAGGCCAAATCACTTAAATATACTCAAAATCAAAGTTCAGCCTCAAACAAATGGAAACACATTTCTATTTGCTGGACTTGAGAAAAAAATGATTAAGTTAATAGTGATTTACAGCACTGTATCTTATATAGATATATAAGATCACACTCTGAAGGTACATGCCATCATACCACACTCACCACCAATGCTCCCATAGTCCTCCACTACAATCCATTCATTGGACCCCATCCCATCCCACCTATTTTTCTACCCTCCCCCACACCCACTCTTATCCAAGACTCAGTTTTACAGTTAGATTTTTAAGGTTTGTTTTTGGTTTGGCTTTAATATAGTGAATTTCTAGTCCTCTCTCCTTTGAGTGTTAACAATATATTTCTGTTTCTTCTAAAAATAGTTGAGAGAGAGTAGTTGTTTTTTAACATTGTGTTCCCTTAAAAAGTACAATTTAAGTTTACTCAGATTATTTCTCCCAGGCCACACAGATTTGACATATTCTCATTGAAATTCATTATATTTTTTCTTGCTACTGGTATTTTGTATGTGAAAAGAAGGTGACGAATTATTTTTGCATTGTTTTCTGTAGAAGAAAATGAACTCAGAAATCATCCCATTTTTCCCAACAACATTCCCCTTCCTTTTGTAGCAAACTGATTTCATGAGAAATGAGTCTACTTGCTGTCTTTAACGTGTGAAGTAGATGGCTTTATTAGGAAGAGATGTAGTTTTCAGTACCAAGTTATATTTACTTGTGTTTTAGTTTGAATTATTTCACATTAAACATACTTACTATCACATTTTAGTTTGGAGAGGCAGCTGGCCTTGTGAAGGACTACCTGAGACAGCTCACATATTTATTATATTCACCCAATGGTCTGTGCTTAGGCAATTCTAAGCTAGTTACATAGTTACAAAGAGTGTGATTAAAACCCCTAATCCTATTCCTCTTTTAGGAAAAGTAAGAAATTTGGGGAGGTTATTTAGAGTGGGTGGTGAGTATTGATACTCATACAAGGAAGAAAATCCTAGATGCTAAACTGCTCCTGCATGGAGTAGGTGTCAGCAAACTATATTGAACAGGTAAATGGGAAGAAAAGGGACCTCAGACCTCAATTTTTCTTGATGTTGCCATCACTAGACTCCTAATCATACTGTGAATTCTTTCCCTGTTGCAAGGCCTTTTTCCATTACTTTTAATGTCTGCAGAAAGGCTTCACCTTTCTAGTACCATCCCCAGTCTCTCTACATGGCCCTTAGACCACTGGCTGCTACTGTCTCTGTGTAGGGACTCTGGTGCTTCCCATGATTTCTATTTTCATGTCATATTTCAGTTTTCTTTTCATGAAATTCTGTTTTGTTTTTATTGTTTGGCTGTAACCACTAATAATCTGCTTATCTCCTGTTGTAAGTGACTACAGAGATAACTGATCAGAATACATGTTCAAAATTTTCTAACTGAAATTTTTTTTTTTTAAAGATTTATTTATTTGTGCATACAGAACTGGGGTGCAGGCCAGAGGCTTAGGGCAGTTAGAGGCTTCATCAGAGACAGAGTGGGGAGCAGAACAGGCAGATCACCGAAGTGCACTGCTGCGGGGAGCAGCTGGCGGGTCAGGAGAGGTCTGCCACGCCATGTGATCACCTCCGGGGCAGGCGGGAATCGAACTCATGCAGAAGTGGCTTTAGATTCTCAGTGCTGTGCTTTAACCCGCTGCGCCACCAGGGAGGGCCATACTTGAATATTTTTACTTGAATGTACAATTCTTTCTTTTCAAAGTATTTTTTTATCTACTATGGAAAACAGTCTTAGCCTTACAAAATTTTTTAGTTAAAATTTCAGTTAGGGCCCTCCCTGGTGGCGCAGCGGGTTAAAGCACAGCACTGAGAATCTGAAGCCATTTCCGCATGAGTTCGATTCCTGCCTGCCGACTGCCCGGAGGAGACCACATGGCGAGCCAGACCTCTCCTGGCCCGCCCGCTGCTTCCCTCAGCAGTGTACTTCGTGGATCTGCCTGTTCTGCTCCCCACTCTGTCTCTGGTGAAGCTTCTCACCGCCTCTGAGCCTCTGGCCTGTACCCCAGTTCTGTATGCACAAATAAATAAATCTTAAAAAAAAAAAAAAATTCAAGTATTTCCTTTACTTACCTTTTAATAACATACAAATAAAAGAAACAAACACATTAAAGTGCTTCAGTAATTTATGGTGGGATAAAGGATAGCTTTACATAAGTTATATCTATTTATTAATACTCAAAGCACAGCTGAGGCTTCTGTTAGATGTCTTACTTCAACAAAAACCTGAACTTATTAACAACATTTCTAGGAAGAATTTTGAATTTACTATCACAAAAATCTTTAAAAAATTAAATCACTGAAAATTGATTTAGCATAGTGTAACCCTCACAGAAATACAAAAAGAAAGTATTTGCCATAATTTTTCTATTTGATAGTACATTAAAAAAATTAACAATAAAAAGAGCATGTAATTTTTTCTCACTAAACCAATAAAACTTGATCAGTGTACTATGCCATGCATAAACAATCTACATAACCTAAAACCTGTTTCACTAAAATGCATGTCTCTTTGTCATGAATAGCCTATATGAGATTTAAAAATTAGGGAACAATGTTAGGGTACAGAAACTGTGTTTGTGCACAGTTTCCCCCAGCATACTACTTTCAAAGAATCAGAATCATTTTTCCACTCAAAATTAAACAGAACATCCTCACCCATAAAAGAAGTAATCTTAATCCTAACACAGAAAATTAACAGAAGTGGCTTCTTTATTGCAAGTGCAGGCTAGCTTGTCAGCCTCAAGAAGCACTTCGTTTAGACCTCTCTCTGTGCGATAAACTATTGAATCAAATGGCTTATTTTGATGAACTCAAACCTGTGTCCCCAGGAGCAGGCTGAGGCACAGTATCTGAGACTACAGAGGAGTTTTTGTGGTGATTTTTATATATAAATGTTCATAGAGCTTAAGTAGGTCAATATCTTTTTGTTGCGATTGTTACTACTTTTTATTAGTGTTCTATTTACAAAGCTCCTTAAGTTTCAAACACTTTGCCCTTGATCATGCCTGCTCAATTCTGAGTATGTTTTTTCTGAAGTTTATATACACAAACACAAATAAAACACATCCATGATATTTTAGTATGCATCCTGTCTAAATAAATTGAATTACCCAAATATAACCTAAATATCTAAATAGTTTAAATCGCTAAATGTGTTTTTCCTAAGTATAACAATATAGCATGTAACTGTAATGCCTAACATAATAATTTAGAGTTAAATAAATGTCTGTTTTAACAATAATAGCAATATGCTGAGATAAAAGATTTTTATCCATCAAATTAGTCAAATGACCATTGCATTTTATCTAAAGTGCATAATTGTGAGTGAAAATTAATGTTTAAATGACAGTTCCCTTTACTAGCTCATATTCACCATTTATAGAGTTTCTTAAAGTGTGATGACATTATAACCTTTCTACCATGATACCAGTATATAACCCTTCTACCATGATAGCATTTATAATCTTTCTACCATGATACCATTTATAACCTTCCTTAAACCCATACCATCATGAATTTGTTGGGAAAAAATACTTACCTCTTACAAAAAAAGCTCCCCTAAAGAACTTCCCTTATCTTTTTTTATATTATGGAAATAACTTTTTCTTAGTAGTGTTTAGCCTGACTTCAAAAAGTGGAAACCAGAAGTCAGGCCACAACCATAAAGAGATGGATAGAGAACTTGAGTTTGCATTTCTCATTCCAAGAACTCATTCCTACTTACTCCACATTCTTCGTCCAGTCTGGAGGATTACTCAAGGTCATAAATACACAGTTGGTCAGAATAGTGCACATTATAAGCATGCTGAATAAAGTAGATTATAGTTAAGGAATAAATGCTAGCACATTATTGTGGCCATTTAAAAATTACCCAAAATAATCTCAACATACATTATCTGTGGAATTAATCTGATGTGTTATAAAATGATAGCAAAAATAAAAGAAAAATCAAAGGCTGTATCATATTTGTCCAGTCTTTTTTTATTTCACATAATTTTTCACAAAGCTGAACTCTTCCTGTGAATTTTATTGATTTGTCATTTATTTGCAAAATTATATAACTTGGAGAACACAAATTCATACCTGGCAAAACTGAATTTACAAAGGGAGAAGTCTATTTGAAGCAAATGGTCCTTTTGTATTCCAGTAAGTTGTTTGAAACTGCTCTACAAAACTTAACTAATTCTTTAGAAAGTTTATAGCAAAATAAATATACATATTGTACTCAAATATAATTTAGAATTTACAATGACTGACAAGTTTAATGAATACAATATGAAAAAGCTGAGAATATTAAGATTACATTGAGAGTTCTGCTATAATTAGATAATCGAATCTATAATTAGGTATGCATGATGTAAGTCTTTCCTTTAAAGTTTTCAGCATGAAAACTATTTGGCTAATAGTTTACTATTATTTCTAATATTTTACTCTTAATTTAGAGACCTGGGGAGCTAACAGGATATACAGTTATCCCCTGCCACTAGGCCACCCAATACCTAAATAAATAAAACACAATTTTGAGACATTCCATAAGCATTAACTATGACTATTATAAAATTTCTCTCTAAGGCTATGGGTAACTATTTTGAAGTGAATATTTTATTTTTCAAATACAAATAGCTTCCAACATGAAACTCTTGGATGAGAGAATGCAAAAATACCTAAATAGGTTATCATTTCTGTTTGTCCTCTTTCTAGGTTAACCGCTATTTTGTTTCTGCTTTAGTGTTCAGATAAGCTTTTGTTCATGTAAGGCCCTGGTCCTGTTTTGAATCTATCCATAGTTTGGCCATTATTGTCACCAACTTTATATTTGGTGAATTTTTAATACTAGTTGTCTAGGAACATAGTAGGATGTTAACAAATATCTATTGAAAGAAAAAAGAATGGATTTAGGTATTGTATATATACAACCAATTTGAATGTCTGGTAGTATTAATAATAATACTGACCACAATAGACTGTTTGAAGTTTGAAACAGAAGCTTGAATGTCTGGTAGTATTAATAATGATACTGACCACAATAGACTGTTTCTATAGCACTGGTTATATATAGTCTAATTCAGGTTAATAGAAGTGTGAAGGAGAAAGTGTTGTTCCTACACTCAGTGTGCTTCAATAACACATTAGCTATCATGGTTTCATTTTTTACTTCTGTAATCATAATAATCATTCTATAATAACCTTGTTATAAATCACAGAAAAACAATGAGAACAACAGATTAGACATTACTATGAACTGCAAAGAAATTTTATATATATTTAAAAACAAGAATGACATTTTCTATAAAATCAATGACTCAAAACAGCATTTCAACAATTTCCACGAAAAGGATATGAATGTACCAAAATCTTAATAGCAATTTTCCTAACAGGATTTAGCGGAGTCAAAATGTACAAGGCAGAGGTGGCACTGAATCGGAAAATTGCCTTTCCTTTATTCAATACTATAAAAGTCTGAAAAAGAAAATAGAGAAAAATTACTATGTTAATCATGTAACTTATGTGAAAAACTCAAAGACATGAACTTTTTACATGTTTTATTCTAACTTGTTTTTTAAATCAGTTGGTATAACTGTAAAAAATGTCTCTTCCCCCTAAATTAACATATATCTACAAATAAAGATAAGACAGACCACCATGTAATCTGTCTCTAAGGTACCAACTACTTCATACAAACTGATGTTCCTACACACTATGTTTACCAAGTTTTAAGGTAACTTTACAGACTTCTATTTAAAACTTACCATCTGTTTTTAACTTTTGGGTAACTTTTCAGATTATTCTGCATCTGACTTAGTATTGAAATTATCTTTCATAAATATTTTAATAATATTAGTGATTTAGCTTTGAAGTTTATAAAACCTCCCTAAAGTAGCGGTCCCACTTTCAAATATGTAAATACACAGGACACCCTTGTTTTGCTTATAATGTAAATCTGCTGGTAATACTAAGGAGGGACAGCTGCATTGGGATGAAATATATCCTTTCAAAGGGCATTCCATAGCTAAAAACCTATGATCTGAAACCTATAATTATCAACTTAGCATTTAAGCTGTGTCACCCAGTGATTACATGCTAACACTCTCTAGGATCTTTTTTTTTTTTCCCCACACGGGTTTCACTGTTCCAGCTAATTCAGTCACACTTGTCAATTCCATTCACAACCATCAACTTCTCCTTACAGCTCTGAAAATGGTATCAGAGAATTGTAGAAGGAGGAGGCACCTCAAAGGTCCTCTAACAAAATCTCCATTTCAGGTTCATAACAGACCTGACAGTTAAAATCCTCCTTACAGCTACCCACTATTACATGAGAGGATCTTAGTGCAGTCTATATTTTGGCATATGCTGGGATGATTTTTAAATTGCCAGCATTCGATTCCTACTCCAGACCAAGTGAATTTGAAAAATGGACACAGAGATGGGTGTTTTAAAAAACTTTCCTTAGGTGATTTTAATAAGCAGACAAGGTTGAAAATCCCAACTTTCTGGAAATGTGATCAGCTTTCAAAATCACCTCCTCTGCATGTATTTCCACATAAATCACATTGACTTTTGGTCACTCCCTAATTGTTTTCCTTTGCCAGTACATCTTGGTTTATTAATTTGCACATGTTAGCATATTGCTTCTAATTATGTAAATAGTTAATCTAGGACTCATTGACTGGGGACTAGGTTAGAAGTTGTTACCTACTGTTGAGCACAGAGAGCCTGAAAATCTATTTCTCTACTTTTCACAGTATTTAATATAGTGATTTACAAATATATACTTTTTTAAATTAAATGTGATTTTACCTTTGTCATTTACCTTTAAGACATCTATATACAGTTTACATAATAATATATATTTTACCCTTTTACTAAGGGTTGTACCTTATATACTCATGTTCCCTGACAACATGTGCTGTTTGAATAGGTAGACAGAAATATTTATATTGTGAGCGTATAAAGGGCAGAGAAGACAATTTATCCGAACATTGCCCTTTTGTATTCAAGACCATGAAACCAAATATTATCTAACCAACTATTTTCATTGAGCTGCACTCTATAAATTTAAACACATCCATTCAGAAGTCAAGCAAACAGCTCTTTACTAACATGAGATTATCCATGGGTACTTGAGAAGACTGCCTTTGAAGCACAAATGCATTATACGATTTTCTTGATTTCTCAAGATTAGATAGTCTAATAAGACAGTCAAACAATCTAGGTTCATTTAGGCATTCAATGACAGCAGTAAATGTAGAACTTCACTATAATTTAAAGTGCCCTTACCATGCTTCGGTGAAACAATTTCCTTGAAAAAGGAACTTGTAACTTTAAGGGAGGATTTTATTTAGAAAAATTTCCCAAAATAGAATGAACAGTAGTGAACTATCCCTTTAAATATGGTACCTCTGCTTCTCCTGAAAGATTAGCCTTTATTAGTTCCTAATGAAGTTGAAAATGATAGGAGAAGGACATCTTCACTGATTTATAGGTTCTTTTTTTTTTTAAAGATTTATTTATTTATGCGTACAGAACTGGAGTATAGGCCAGAGGTACAGGGGGTAAGAGGATTCATTAGAGACAGAGTAGAGAGCAGAACAGGCAGATCTACTGAATACACTGCTGAGGGGAGCAGCAAGTAATAGGGAGAGTTCTGCCACACCATGTGGGTCACCTCCCTAGCCAGGGATTGAACTCATGCTGCAGTGGCTACAACAGCTTCATAGTGCTGTGCTATAGTTCGGTGCGCCACCAGGGAGGGCCCTGAATTTATAGATTCTATAACACTGCTTTAAGAAAAGGCCTTAAGAAAACAATGCAAGCTTACTTTCTGGTGATAGACCTCAGACTTAACCCCTAGGCCACCAGAGAGGGAACACCTGATGCAAAGAAAACCTTGAGCTCTGAGAAATGAGTAGTGAAATACTAATGTCTTATATAATGGAAGAATCATTAGAAAGACATGTGAAAATTGGAACACTAATGTTATTGAGAGGTGATATAGCTGGAAATTACTTGAGAGGATGATAGGTGATTGGAGGAAGGATTAAATTAGAAAATCTGATATCCAAGCCACAGTACTCCATGTTGCTACAAAGAAAATGAGTGTTGTAGGTCAAAAGTATGTGAGATTTGTCAATATTTATTCTGGAATACTGCTTGCTTCTTTCACCTGGGTAAATGTATAACTTTTAGGTTCACTAAAATTGATACTACTTGAGATAAGAATAACAGTTACATCTCTAAGTAGAGTCACAGCAATCAGAGAATTAAAAAATTATATACCTTTCAAACATTTTCTTCTGTTATATTAATAAATACCATGTATAATTTCACTTAGCAGTTAAGATCGCTGGCTCTTCAGCCCAACTGCCTGGTTTCAAATCATGAATCCACCATTTACCTATTAGTATTATTATCATATCACTGTCACTATTTAAAAGTTATTATTTGTTCAATTTAAATGCTATTAAAATACATTATGATGTTCTTATCTAATTAAAACAGATGTATAAAATGTATCACTAATTATTGGAGGCTGGAGGCAAACAGCTAGTGCTTTACAATTTTAAAATGACTTTTACCTGCATTATTTCAGGCATTTAACACATGCCTCATGTTTTATATATATATATATATATATTAAGACTTATTTATTTATACATAACTGGGATAACTGGGGTTGTGGTACAGGCCAGAGATGCAGAGGGTGAGAGGATTCACCAGGAACAGAGTGGGGAGCAGAACAGACAGATCCACGAAGTACCCTGCTGAGGGGAGCAGTGGGCCGGTCAGGAGAGGTCTGCCACGCCATATGGATCTCCTCCAGGGCAGGCAGGGATTGAACTTATGCGGAAGTGGCTTAAGCTTCTTAGTGTAGTGCTTTAACCGGCTGCGCCACCAGGGAGGGCCTCATGTTATATTTTTAAAGTTCAAAGTCTTCCTTCTCTAAGAATCACAAGCTACCTTTTTTTCCTAATGACAACTGCATCTCTATCTTTATAGGCAATTTCATAGAGGAGAACAGTGCAGGAAGGTAGCTGTCTAGACATCTCTCTCTAGATTTAACCGTGATGAACAAATCAGAGCCCAAATCTGATTCTCACACAGGGAAGCAATAAGAAATCTGACGTTGCTAGCACAAGAAAACAATTTTGTTTCTCAGCGGCAGATTCACATTAACCCAACCTAATCCTAATGCCAGTCTATTTATTTGCAATGAAATATATTACTGTCACATGAATTGAAATAATTGCATTGACATAACCAGCACATTCCTTCATTTTAAGAAGATCTCTGGGGAGACAAATTATAAGCAGAAAGATCTTTGCTGAAGGTGAAGTTCAAACAAGCCAATGTCATCAAATGATGGAGTGTTTGATGACATTTCTTTTAGGTAGTCCTGCATAGTCTCTCTTCAATGCAATGGACTTGATATTGAGAAGAAAATGCTTTCAGGGCAAATATAACAGACCCGTCTCTCCTGAGAAATGCTATTTTTTTTCTATTAACATTTCCTCACTCCCTACCCTTACCAATTCCTTTTCTTAAAAACACTCACTTTCTTTAAGTAACAAATAATTTTAATGATGCCATACCTGTGTTTCTTGAAAGCATCTTTGCTTTCAATCAATAGTTCTTTCAATCAATATTTCTTAGAGGAGACCTTTGCCCCCATGGGAATTGTCTCTCTACATGTGTGTGATAACAGTCACTAAATTCCAATTTTTTAAAAAAATTAATTCCATGGTAAAGTACTAGAATCATTTATTTGTAGAAGTGTATCACTGTATATTAAATGCCAACTTTCATGATACTGTCTAAAAACAAAAAGGTCCTGTGTGACTATTTAAATTTGTTTTCAATAGTATTTTAAAAGCCTGCTGTTTAAAGGGTAGCCTATGTATTAGTAGCTTGAGCCTCACTTGAGGGCTTGTAAGAGCAGGATCTCTGGCCTCTCCTCAGACCTTTGAAGCAAGAATCTATATACTAACAAGATTTTCAAGTGATTTGTGTGCACATGCAAGTTTAAAAAACACTCCTTTGGGTAGTAGGGCTAGTTCCATGCCAAATGACTCATTGTCAATTCCTTTAGTTATCACTGATCTTGTAGTTTAATTGCCAACTACTTGAAGAATTCAATTTCTTTGAAAAGGACTGGTTTTGACTAAGTAGGTGTTTAATAACTTCTTTAAATCCATAAACTATCAACTATAGTGATACTGATCTTCAGTTTCTATATAGGCTTTTTAATACTTGTGAATATGAAATAGTAATAAATATAAATTGTGTTTTCAAGATGTCAAAATACTCCGTTATCTAAACAGAGAGATTCTAGTTTAGATAATGGAGTATTTTGACATCTTGAAAACACAATTTATATTTATTACTATTTCATATGGTGGCACAAGAGGTTAAGTCTCAGCACTATTAAGCAATTGCCATCCACGGTGGCCTGAGTTCGATCCCCTGGCCAGGAAGCTGACCCACATAGCACAGCAGACCTCTGCTGTTTCACCCCCTGCACTCCTCAGCAGTGTATCTCAGTAGAGCTGCAACTTCTGCACCTGACTCTCTGTCTGGTGAATCCTCTCATGAATAAAAATAAATACTTAAAATATTATTTGTAAAATACTGCTCAGTTGGCTTAACCACAAATGTTAGCTAATTATGGCAGGATTATCTGGTTATTCTAATGTGAGAAAGACAATCATAACTGCTGATTTAAGACACACACACACACACACATATATATTTGGGAAAAATATATATATGGGAAAAAAATGTGAAGGTTTTTTGTCTTCCTATTTTTGATTTTCTTTCCTCTCAGAGTAATGTTTTGTCAGTATACAAGTGTTCTAGACCCCAGCCTGTTACAAGTTGAGTATGAATAAGAGAAGTTCCCCCATCATATTCCAGATTAGTAGACCAAAAAAAAAAAAAAAATTCTTGGTAAACATGATTCTCAATGTATTATCTTCCACTGGGAGAATGCTAAAAGGTTAGTTATAACCCACTAAAATATAAACTATAAATCCATTGTGAAGAAACCTCATGCCAAATAGAAATTAAAAATAAGTACATTTAGGCCCTCCCTGGTGGCGCAGTGGTTTAAAGCACTGCACTAAGAATCGAAAGCCACTTCCACTTGAGTTCGATCCCCATCTGCCCTGGAGGTGACCACATGGCGTGGCAGACCTCTCCTGACCTGCCCACTGCTCCCCTAAGCAGTGTACTTCACCAATCTATCTGCCTGTTCTGCTCCCCACTTCTGCTCTGGTGAATCCCCTCGCCACCCCTGCACCTCTGGCCTGTATCCCAGTTTCATATGCATAAATAAATAAATGAATCTTAAAAAATAATAATAATAAGTACATCTACCCATGATGTCTCTTTTGCACCATCATGATTCTGTTGTCCACCACATACTTCAGTACGTCAGCAACATTACATATTTTGCTTGGTTGACATCAGCTTTAATTCTAACTATCAATTACTGTGAAATTACAGAATTTGTTCACCTCTTCATGTCTTTGCCCTATGTCCAAATGACTTTCTTATAAATGTTTCCATTTATTCTGCTTACATTGTACTTAAAATTAAGTAGAAACTTTTAAAAAAAGCATTATAAAGTCTTAAGCAGTTGAAATGTTGTGGTTCAGTACACGTATATGAGCCTCAATAAAGTATGTGAAAGTTGAGAGTTTAATTAAAGACATATTGATAGTGTAAAGTCATAACTCACTTTCTTACTGATATAGTACGGATCCAGGTCCTCCAGTGGCTCTGATACCATCTCTGGAGGGATGTCGCCATAGATAAATGGGAGGTTCTTCCCAGCTTCCAAGTCACTGTTGGGCTTTGGTTTATTCTCATCATCATTGTCTTGTTCTTTCTTGGGCTTCTTGGCTTTCTCTTCTGCAGCACGTTTTTCGATAGCAGCAAGGGATTCTCTAGTGAAAAAGCGGAAGCTTTCGGGCCCTGGGGGTACCAGCAGTGCCTGTGCCATCTTTTCATCCTGCACATTTAATTACGTTTAGCTTCTTGCATAAGAATTGCCTACAATAAAATTTGAGAAATGCATGAGCTAGGGAAACAAATAATACAGATAAAGGAAATGTCTTGTTTCTGCCAGTCTTTTTTTTTTAATTTTAGAAGTGAAAGTAATGCAGTTACTTAGATATATTGTCAGTGAGTCATACCTGAGACTTATAATGTTCTAATGCAGTATTACTTCAGGAAAAAAGAAAACATAATTTTAAAATAAAATACTCATGTGTATTGAAAGAATGAAAATAAAAAGTATAAATATTTATAAATCTTCATGCTACACTAGAAATTTTAAATTGGACCATTATCATTCAATCTAATTGTCAGTAAGCCACCTGATAAGTCTATCAAAGTCTGTTCTGAGATATTGGAGTCCATACTGTATTATTGCAGCCTTTTGGTTAGAAAGAGTAATACCAGTAATGCTACTCAATACATTTGCTTAAGGATCCATTTTTTCCTTCTCTCTCTCTCCCCATTACATATTGACTCCCCACATAAAGAAAGGCTGTAGTGACAATACTCTGGTATATCCTTTATGCATAACATCAAATACAGAACATGAAATAAAGTTTGTCTAATCCAACCACTATCGATCATTGGTTCTCCAGACAAGGTCTAACCATCAACAGTGAAGGGGAACTCAAAACTGTTTCCTTTTAGCTTTTCATCTTTGTTTCTTCTAAAGCAACACAGAATATATTTACCTTCTTTTCCTGTCTGCTACTTTTTAACTATACTCCAAAACAATTTTGATACTCTTCTTGAATCTTCCATGTGATATACTGGGCAAAAATATCATTTATATAATGAAACTCCGACAGTTTTAATCCCCTGTTCTTCCACTTATGAAGTGCTTGGTTTTGCAAATGTAACCCTCTCAGTGCTTCAGTCTTAATCTATAAAATGGAGATAATATGAGTACTAAACTCCCCAGTCATTGTAAGATAAAAATGGGCTAACTTAAATTAATGTCTGATTTTGTGATTGTAGGTCATTCTACAAGATGATTGATATATTCATTGTATTTTGCTGTTATGGTTTCTATTTTGATATGTTTTTTTTTTTTACACAGAATATACATTTTGTTTTTGTATGTAAAATGGGGATCACTGGATTATTTTGAGCACTAAATGAGATAATATATATAATGTTCCAAAAATAGGGCTTCAGACAGTCATATTTTTTAATTAAAGTAAGCTATTTACAAATCAGAATAACTTTTAGAAGTACAGGTTCACATTCTTCAAGTGTGTGATACCTCAGCACTCCTGTCACTAAGTACCAATGAACCCCCAATGCTGCCCTTTTGACTCCTATCCTGTGGAAAGGGGAGATGTTATGTTGTCAGAATCCAGGGTTTATTTACTTTGTCTGTCTTTAATTGTCAAACTTTGATTTTCCAATGTCTAGAATAGCTTCTGGAATTATTAAGCATTTTTAGTGTCGGCTGCCATAACCTAACTTCTTCAGTTGCTCTAATTATTTCCGCTGTTGTAGTTTCAAGCATCCTCATAATTCAAGCCACTTTCCTTTAAATAAGGTCTCGACTTGCTTGTACCACATCCGCCCACAGTATGCAGGAGCAGTCTGAGAACTGCACAGAGCAGAGGCACATTTACATATCTCTCTCACCTGGTTGAGAGATGGAAGGGGAGAAGGCAGACATGTGGACTGGCCTTTTTCTTGCCAGGGGAAAGAAAAAATGTCTGTGGAAAATGTGACAAAACTGTCAAAAATACAGGAAATCAGCTACTTAAATTTTGAAACATAAGCTAACAGTTATGTTTTGCATTGTGCCAAAAATCACACTTAATAATCAAGATAGAAAATAAAAAAAAAGAGTAACAACAAAATATGATGTATACATCAATCATTTTGCAGAACGATCTACAGCGCAGTATTGGCGAAATCATTAGTCATCTATAACATTTTCCCTACTCCCCAAACACCCACCCACCTCACTCCTGCATTTATTCTCCTCCACATAGCATTTGATCCTTAAAGGACCTTCTGATTCTTAACAGATAGTCACATGGGTATACTGAGCTTACAGACAAGTAGAATATCTAGATGTTACAGTAATAGTTCGTACTGAATCACTAGTTCCCTGACCTGTTCCAATGACAAAAAGTATTTTAGTGCAAAAAGTATTTTTAGTAGTTGTACAGCTGTAAATTTTCATTGAATTACTTCTTATAGTATGATTATTATATTTTCTGCTATTTTTGAAGGTACATTCTAAATAAGTTATACACTATTAGATTTGTCAAAATATTGTTCCATTTCCCCTTCTAATTCTGAAAAAAAAAATGCACACACACACATCTAATTTGTGGTGAGACTGATATTTTGTTTTTGTTTTATACTTCATCCAGTGGCATATGAATCAGAAAATTTGAGATTGTTTGATTTTAGTAAAAAATCAATCATCAATTTATTTTGTGCTTTCTATATTCATGGCAGGTGGCACAAAGTAGAATTAGTATTTTCAGTATCAACAATCAAAGCGTCATTCCAGCTCTAGGTTGTGCAGAATGGCCACAACTTTTAATCTTTTGAGAGTGGAATTTGTATATTAATTGTAAGGCTTAATCAGAAATGTGTGATTCATCTGTTTCTCATTGCCTGGCATGAATTGAATGGCTGAGTTTCTTCCCAAGTGCTAACTATAAATGAAAAGGCATGATAAATAACTTAAGAAATTTCCATAAAACATGGTTGCTTTCTTAGGGGTAGAAGAAAGGTTAAGTCTGCATTTGAATATTTAGTTGAACAGATTTTGGTTCTTTATTTACAATAGCTTAAAATACAATGAGTAAATGAAATCAGAGATCTAGGTTAGTACTAAATTTGTCTCCAAGAGTTTGCTGTGTCATTTAACCTTTCTTTCTTTCATACCTTTGACATAACTCATCATATGTGGCAATACTTTACAACAAAGAAATAACTAATTATACACACTTCACTGGAGTCCTGGATCTTAAATTTTGAATGGAGTTAGGTTAAAATTATCTAATGTGGAAAACTTCTAATAATCTTTACAGATTCCTTTGACTGCCCTAGATGACATAGAACAAGATACCATCACAAAACAATGAATATTTATTTGAAAAGAAGTATCCTTTAACTTCTTGTTCACTTATTAAGATCTAGAATAGACAATGTGAGTCTTAATCAAAAAGAAGTGAAGAACAGCTGGTAGAAATGCAAACTGGTTCAAGCACTATGGAAAGCTGTGTGGAGGTTCCTCAAACTACAAAAAATAGAGCTACCATATGACCCAGTAATTCCACTCCTAGGAATCTAACCAAAGGGCCCAAAAACATTAATTGAAAAGAATACCTGTACCCCTGTATTTATTATAGCACTATTTATAATAGGTAGGACATGTAAAGAACTCAAATGCCCAAAAATAGATGCCTGAATCAAGAGATGGTGTGTATGCACACTGGAATATTACTCGGCAAACAAAAAGAAAATCTCATGCCATTTGCAGTACCATAGATGGAGCTGGAAGGGGTCATGCTCAGTGAAATAAGCCAGGAAAAAAAGGGGAAATATCAGATGGTTTTACTTCTGTGAGGAACGTAAGGGAACCAAGTAAGGGATCAGGAAAAATATATATAAATTAAAAAGCAAAATTAACAGGCACTTATAAATCAGAGACATTTTGTAGGGGAGAGGAGAGAGAAGGGTCAAAGCAGGAAAGGGAAGAGCACAGGGGATTATGGTGATGGTGCATAGGAGAATTGGTGGTAGGAACTCTACTGGGACTACCTACATCTGACAGGACAAAGCATACATTGTATACAAATGAAGAATGATGTAAAATACATATAAAATAAAATAAAATAAGGAAATCACGCTGAAATTCCCATGCTGTTGCCCTGTTGTCTCTAAATCCTAAGAAACGAGGCTGATTTCACTCTAAGCTTTTCCTTTGCAGAGGGGAATAGAGATCATCCAATATTTGGATAGGCTGAAACATTACAAATTACAATGAGCAGAGCTTCCCCTGACTTCACTAGCAGTTTTGCTGTTTAGAAACCTCTCATCGTCCTTTGGAAGTTCTATTTTAATTTTTTTTCCTCTTTCTGGTTCTCTGTGAGCTCATTATACATAGCTCTTACATAATTTTATATTCCTATTAGAGCAAATGGTTAAAAATTAATTCTCCCTGATGTCTTGGTGTGGAATATATATTATTAATGAAAATATGTGCATAATAATTTATTAAAATGATCAAATTTAATATGCTAAATTTTCTGCCGAACTGTTCTTTCAAGGACAAAAACCCCAGGGGATGATGCATTTGATTAAAAACCAGTGTCTAAATCTATAAATGTGTGTGTAAGTAAACCACTTGTATCCTCTGTTAAAAAAATGATTGTGAATGAAATATATTAAGAGATGAGCTACAAAATTTCAGGAAGGTGCATTAGAATCATTCATTTAAGAAATATTTTTTGAAGTACAACTGTGTTTGATGGGGCACTCATGGTCCCTATTTTTATGGAACTGACATTCTAGTAGGAGAAATAGATTTTTATATAAACGATTATAATTCAATATAACTGGTTACTGTCTGAGGTCTATAAAAGAGAATAATTTATTCTTCCCAGGGAAGGGAAGATGCGAATGTTCATTGAAATTTTCCTGAAAAGTAATATTGAATAGGTTTTCAAGACTAGTTGGATTTGAGAAACTAGTTTTGGTGTGATAATTGAGGGCGTATTGCTAGGAAGACAGATGAGTAGTGACATCATACCAGGCAGGAAGACAGCAAGGGAAACAGAATGTGCATGGGCCCAGAAATAACAAAAAGCAAGAAGAGTTTGGGAGGAACTATAAGCAGTTGGATATAGCTGGAGACCAGCCATATCCAAAAGGGTATGATAAAAGAAAAGACTGGAAAGTTAAGCAGGATATAGATCACTAATGACTTTTATAGCACTC